ACTTCTTTCTCTTCCTCCTCCAAAGCCCATCTTTTAAACCCACACCTTTCTTGAACACACCTTGCAGGACACTTATTCAGATGATGTCACACTGGGAATTGATTCTTTTCTGCTGGATTCAGGTGAGACCCTTCTGGAGCGTTGTGTGGACAAATTATGGAGCAGCACATCTCCTCCTCTTTACCTCGCCTCTCCCTCCCTCAGGCACGTTTGGGATGTCTCACACAGCTCAGGGCTACGACTGCCCTTTACAGGCAAATCCTTAGCACAGAATAAAACACATAAAGCAAAATCCTTCCTTGCATGCTGTGGGGAACTGCCTGAACAGGCTTCAAAAAGGAAGAATACTTCCCTGGCTGCAAAGCAGCTCTTGGCTGCTGCTCTTACCTTTTTTGTGAAGAGGTGAAGGGAAGAAACCTGTTGGAAACCTGTACCTGTCAGAGTCCAGTCCCAGAGTTTACATATTGCTCATTTTCTTTCCAGTTCCACTATCTCTCGCTCTGCTAAATTCTGCTATCTGGGGCAGCAAAAGTTCTACTGCTGGAGGACCCTCCGTGGATATAGCTCTCAGAGCAGGGGACAAGCTCTATAGTAGCTCATTTTTGGGTGATTTTTAGGCTTCTTGGCAGAGCTGAGGAACAAAAGAAAAAGGTGTCTGGGATGGCTGAGAGATTATTTAAATTTGACTTCAAGACAAAACGATGAGTTATACCGCCCTGCAAATAACACTGTAAGTAGCTCCAGGAACACAATGAGGCATTTCAGGCAAATTAAATCTTAACGGAGAAACTTAAATGAATGATTTGCATGGACTGAACATGGCTGCCTTGTTACTGAGTCTTAGGAGACAATCTTAGGAAATGTCTCAGCAGAGGGTAACTAACCTATATGTGCATTGTCCCCAAAAGACCATTTTAGTCCAAAGGGGAAGCTTGCCCTCCCTGGACTTATCATAAGCATGCTGGGGGTGTAACATAGTAATCTTCCTTTTCCTGCCATCAGCCATCTCCCCAGCTAAAACTAAGGTTTCTATCAGGTGTCTCAATCCCAGGCAAGGGATATTAGGAACAGATTTGGGCACTCCCAAATTGCTTTGTATAGCAGCACATCAGATCTTTTAATATCTGAATATCAGCCACACACGGAGCCTGTGCTCTCACTCTTACAGGCAACTACAGTGCAATGTACCTGTGCTGATGTCTTACAAAATCCCTGTTATCTCCTTGCCTGAGGCACATAATATTCTTTTCTATTTTGAATGGGTAAGTAAAATGTTATGGTCAGTGTGACAGAACAAGTTTTGCATCTGGACTGGTAAATCATCGTGACAAGTTTGCAAGACTGCCATTCTGAATTCTGTCATCCTGTAGGTATTTAGTTCTGAATATACAAAAAGTATGGAACTGCATACATATTTGTCAGAGAAATGTTAACTCTGTAAGCTTTAGTTTATTTGAGACTTCAAACAGCTATGCCTCGTAGGGATGTATAACATTAATGCAAAGTTGAAGTATGTTGTTAATGGAAGCCGGCTGCTGGGAGAGCTGGCACAAAGGCTGGTTGTTCAAAAACTTCTCAGATCAGTTGAGATTAAGATGACCATGTTTTTCATCATTATGAAGCTCTCTCAGAGATGCTCATTTTAGACACAGAAAACTACATTTCTCTCTGCATTTTGTACCCATCATCTCCTCAGAAGGAAAACCACAAAAATCATCATACTGAGCAGTCTTTGCCTATTTTGAATAATTCTTCTTCTCAGGTCTCTAGTTTCTGCCATGTACTCAAATAGGACATATTACCCGGCTGGATCTGCTTACACCTTGGTCCACACCTCCTTGCCACTAATGTCACAAAAATCTTTGCACCATTTGCTCCCATTATGCACACACAGCCGTAAGTCTTGGATGACTGAATGGACAGGACTGTGTCAACTGCAAACTTTTTTCAGAGCTGCAGTAAATTAAACTGGATGCTGTGGTTAGAGTAGAACTATTCAGAGCCCTGGTACCTCAAGTTGTGACTGTAAAATAGATAATGATATATGTTACAAGGTATGCCCAAAATATTGTTATCAAGTTGCAAGAATACATGTGACCTCCATGTACAAAGGCAAAATTAGTACTAGATAAGCCTACTTGATGAGAGGTCGTATGTCCAAGTGTCAAGCTCATTGTCCGAATGGAACTGGCAATTAAGACTTCCCCTGGATAAACAGCTGGGTTGATGGAAGTTTGAATCCCAGGTAGTGTTCACCCCCACCGCTGTCAATCGTATGGGCTCTGCCATTCACATCTGTATGTAAACACCACTCTACCATCACCCCTGTCTTCCCAGTAGGCCAGGTGATGGCTATCAGCTCAATGGATAGCTTCATATATACAGACTTAACCCTCATTTATGCTCCAGTGACTGGAACATGGCTACACTGTGGATATTGAGAGATTCATATGGTGATCTCTAAAAGCAAGAGCGGCGGTACTAGATAAAGGGTTGCAAACTAGCAGGCTAAGTGTTCAACTATGCTGATAACATACTGACATACATTCATGGCATCTGTGGTTGTAGAAATGAGCAATGTATCCATTTTAAAATGAGATAAACTAAATTTCAATCATTACTGCAGCTTCCTTGATGATTTATCCGTATCATTTATTTATCATTAATGCAGTTTCCTTGATGATGCAACAAGCACTAGGTGCCAAATTCAGATTGCCAGTTTACCAGATTAATTTTGCTAAGTGTAAGGATGCAATTATGAATAGGGATCTATTTAATTGTACTGAGGTAAAGGAAAAATTGTGGGCTGCTCATGCCCTACCTACCCAAAATCATTTTTGTGGGTTTTTTTTCATGGTGAACCTGCTCCCCCACCTCTGACTGATGGAGGGCTGCTCTTTGTGTGGGCCCACTCCTTGCTGCTGATTGGCAGAGAAGGCTGCCCTTCGTGCAGGCCTGCCCCTTGCCACTGATTGGTGGAGGGCTGCCCCTCATGTAGCTGTCCCTTGCCACTGACTGGCAGAGAGGGGTGGGGCCGCACAAAAGGCAGCCTTCTCCACCAATCAGTGATGGACGGTGGGGGCAGCTGCCATCTTGGGTGCTCCCCTTTGTGCTGGCAGCTTGGCTCCCTCCCTCCACCGCAGTGGTCTGCTAGGCTGGGCCGCAGTGGCTGCTGGCTCTCACTGGGGAGCCAGCATTTTATGTTTACTAAGTTTTCTCCCCCCAGGTGATTCTGTGAAAAATTGTGGAAACAACCATTTCTCTTGGAGTTCACAGAAATGACCATTTTTTGTGGTTTCTGTAAAAACTGCGAGATTGCAATTTGAGTAGGTTCCTATTTATGAACTCTTCACCTTATGACGGTGTTTCAGAAATGCAACAGGAATTTTGAAACAAAACCATTGTGTGCAATGACCACATAACTTCTCTATATAGTTGTACATGATGGATGTTTGACAATGCTGCAGCAGTCCCTGCTGTTGTGTAGTTTCCTCACTTTGTTGCAGACATATAATGTTGGCAACCATTTTGCCGGGTGTTTCTGAAACACCCTTGTGTCACCCAGAAGTTTCAGAGGGATGCCTGGAGTCTAAGGTAAGTTGAGAACCACTGGTAAAAGGCAGCAGGATTTCTGTTGGTTTAGCCACAAAAGCTGCCTAAACAACAGAAGCCAACCCATCAGAAATGTTCTTTTGGTTCAGCTGGATCTAAGTATGGTTTGGTTTCTGCATAAAGAACCAAGTGGCAAGTGTGTTTTTTTTACTCCTCTCTATGACCTAACTATGCTAGGAAGACTTCTCTTGGATAAGCCTTTGCTATTCTACAGGGTAAGAGGTATTTTTATTTTTTACCATACACCTTTTTCTCTTTAGTTAAAAGAAGTATTGCAAGTATACAGGTATGTTAAATGTGGGGATCTGCATATGCAAATCGATGTAAATACTTAAACAAATAAAGCACATCTCTCAGTTGTCTGGCAAGTAACCAAGCTGCCCTTGGTACTAGAAATGACAGGCTTGCCATTTTTGTTTGATCAGGCATCCCTGTCCCTGATTTAAACAATCCCTATAGCTAGGCACCATGGAATTTGGAGGGCTAATGACATAAACAAAATATATAGTTTAGAAATGTATGAAAAGCAGATTTAAGGAGAAACAGAACTGAAATGTGTGCTTTAGGTTTGATCTACACCATTGGTACAAATAAAACTCAACTTTAAAGAGTCTCCCCTGCACTGTCCAGAGATCCAACAAAAGGGAAAAGAAGCACACAGCAGTTTGCTTAAATTATGATCAAATATCAGCCAACCATTTCTATTTTCTCCAAACTTATATAGGGGACAATTACTTTCTAAAAAGGAGGTATTTGTGAATACTGATGCATATAACCACAATAGAGCAGTAAACATAAGAATGAGCAGGCTTAAATTAGCAGAATGGTATTTTAGCTTAAGAAATTTACCATCTTAATGCTCAATCCAAAGCCTAGTGAAATCAACAGAAGGGAACATTGATTTCAGAAACTTAGTGAAAGGTGAATTACGTTGTTATATTCAGTGGAAATAGGAGCCAGAATGTAGTAATCTCAAATCAGGTTCAAAAAAGAAAAAGCAACACAAAAACTTTAGAGTGACTGTTCTGCTGTTCTGTTAGCAGCTCCAATGTGAGCAAAGAGCGATACTATTAATAAATGCATGTATCCATTATAATTTAGTCACTGAAAACCATCTTCCAAATGTGTATGGTTTGCCTCGGCAGATTATACTGATGACCTCACACATTCAGTTTTGTTTTATTTATTTTTTCTAACAACAGTAAGTACATTGTTTACACAATCTTCCATAATTTCAAAGATACAAATACTATGTTCTAGCTGATGTTTTGTTCTTGTTTTGTGGAATGGTTCTGTAAAGACTCCTATAGTGGAAGAAAGGGAGAGAAAAAAAGGCATTATTATTAATTGCGAGTAACACCCCACCCTCCAATCAAAAACCAGAATTCTGTCATGAATTAGTTGTTTATGAAAGACCATGCAATAATTTAAAAGAAATAAGGTGATGGTGATACAGAGTCATAGGTGCTGACTTATTGTTGTCTTGGGTGGGGGGAAGTGCAGGTGGCTAAGGTGATGGACATATGGAAAGTTTTATGCATTTCAGGTGACAGCCCTCTTCTCAAGCCTTTGGGTCCCCACATATTTGGTGCCTCTGTACAGAGTAAAAAAGGGGAAAAAACTTGTTTGAATTGCTTAAAGCAATACTTATGTTTTGCCACTCAAAAAACCCTAGTTTATTTTTCAGCCGCAACCTGAAAATATGCTTAAGAATAAATGAATTAAAAAGGGAATCTCAAAAGCATCAAGTCAGTAAACTGACAAAAAAGAAAGAAGGAAACAGAACAGGGAGGTTAGAATATTTTAGGAGGAATTCAAGTGCATTAGAAAATACATCCTATCTTCATTACTAGTAGGAGTGAATTACTAATGTTACCACTAAATGTAAATGGTATTTTAGCATAAATATCTCAAAAAATAAATTTGGGCATCAACCAAGTTTGAAACTTGAAAGGGAATAAAAATTGCTTACTGCATTTATTATGCAGGGAAAAAATGCTCAGAGAAACTGTTTGAATCAAGTTTTAGGAAAAGAATGCTGAATACTACTGATTTCAAAAAGACAAAAATGGCTGGGTTTGGTAAAAAAAGGATATGCAAGCATGTGTCAAGGGAAGGAAAGGATAGTAACTCTTCAAACCCTGACAATCATATACCATCAGCCAAAGATATGCGTTGCAAAGAAAACGTGTGCAGTCTCCACTGAAAAACTTCATGCATGTGTTGACCTCAAGTAAGATGCATTAATATAAGGGCGCAGTTACATATGTGTGTTGGAATAGCTAGGAAAAGTCAAGCTACAATAGGAAAGTTCATTTTACACTTAACATTCCATCACAATGATGTAATTAAAAACAATTTGTATTAAATATAAGACAAGCAATTACTGGAAACTAAAACCATTCAACCATTATTGAAATACACATTCTAAAGATCTTTTAAAACTTAAAACATTGAGATAAATGCCCCAAGGATGTTTGATAAACTCACACCTTCAGATGACTGCCTGATAAGGATTTTGCATTTTAAACACAATAAGCCCCAAAAGGCTCTCTTTTCCCACAAGGCAAACCTAATGCAAGATTAATACACTGCCTACAACATTCAGTACTTCATATACTGACTCCTTTGAGGGTTGTCTAATCCTTATGTAATTAAAGTGTGCAATTTGATTTATTATTATGGAACATATGCAGCTCTGCAGAGCTATTTTTTTATTCTTCTTAATTAGGAAACACTCACAGGGGGTTCAGTAAAAGGGACAGGCTGTTCGCTTTTCTTCAGCAGCAATGTGAAGTGTTTCAGAGTTTTCTCATCTAGGTCCATGTCCTCAGCTTTCATTTTCTCATACACAGCTTTTGCAGAACTGACATCTTCCTCCTTTGCTGAGAAAAGAATTACCAAAAAAATCTGTTAATAATTACCCCCTTTGTTTGTAAAATGTATGCCACAGAAATATCTAACTCCTCCTTTCTCAAAGGAAATGGCTTTATGTCCATAAAATGATAACCCAAAATTAAAATGAAAGAACAGATCAAGTCTATAAAGCCACTTCTTTTTCTGCCTTTGGCAGTGAATCTGGAGGGCAGATTCCTTAGGAGTTTGTAAAAAATGCTGTGAGATACAGAGCTGCGTAAAAAGAAAAACATTCTTAGGTTTGAGGCACTCCAAGCATAGGCCTCTTACTACAGAGAGTAACTGCACTGCAGTAGAGAACTATGGAATACAGCAGGGGTAGGCAATGTTTTTTGGCCAGAGTGCCGAAAAACCACAATGTCTACCTTGGAAGGTGCCGGAGTGCCGGCATGCCAGAAAAAAAAAAGGGGGGGGTGCGTGTGGGGGGGGGGTACACGGCAGGACGCACTGCATATTAGTATATTTAATAATCATAAATATTGCCTTTGTTGTTGTGTGTTCCTTTTTGTTAAGCATGTTGCAGTGAGAGAGAGAAGAAAAAAAGAGAAATAAGAGAAAGAGGGAAAGAGAGAGAGAGAGAGAGGAGATCAGAGAAAGAACCAGACATGTACACAAAGAACCACATGTGCACAAACACAGAGAACCAGAACACACCCAGAACAGACACATGCGCGCGCACATTCAGAACCAGACGTGTGCATGCACAGATACCCAGAACCAGATGCATGGGCACACAGAGTCGGGCTGCTCGGCCACCGGGCAAAATCCGACCCAACAATGCCCTGCACCCACCGGAGCCCCTGTGCTTCCCTGGGGAGCCAGCCCCCAGGCTGCAGCACAGCCAGCCAAGGCCCCAGCCTGGAGCCTGCCCATCAGCCAAACCACCCACCCACTTCACACAGCTAATACTGGCCTCTCCCCTGCTGCCGGCACAGAGCTGATGACTGGGCTCTAGTAGCCAGCCTGGGCTCTGGGCAGCTGCAGCAGGCAGGCTGCAAACAGCTGTGCAGGGCTCCGCACCTCAGAGCAGACAGCAGGGATAAGGCCTGGCCCTGAGGCAGTGCAGCCCTCCTGCTGTCTGCTCCAAGTTGCACATGCAGTCGCCGCCAACATGGAGCTGATGCTGGAGCTCTGGAGCCTGGTGCAGCTGTTTGCAGCCTGCCTGCTATTTGCTGCAGATGCCCAGAGCCCAGGCTGGCTACAAACAGCTGCACCAGGCTCCAGAGCGCAGTCACCAGCTCTGTGCTGGCAGTAGGGAAGAGACCCAGGTTGCACTGCCTCAGGCCCCTCCCCCACCATCTGCTGTGAGGCGCATGTGCACGTGCCAGTACAGAGCTGATGCCGGAGTCCAGTGAAGCTGTTTGCAGCCTCCCAGCTGCAGCCAACCCTGGCTCTGGGTAGCTCAGGGGCGGGCAATTATTTTGGGTGGAGAGCCACTTACCCAGTTTTGGCAGGCTGTCGAGGGCCACATGGGTAGACCCGCCCCTTGACAGCTGCCCTGCTCCCTGGTCACCATCTTGGGACCAATGTCCCAGGGCCAGCACCAGTGGGGCCCAAAGTGGGGCACAGGCTGGCAGGGGTCTGTGGAGCCAGGCTGGAGTGCACCTGCAGGGAGAGAGGGTAGCTGGCCTGGCTCCACAGAGCTCCATAGAGCTGGCTCCTGCCACCCTGCTCTGGGCCCTACCAGCACTAGTCCCAGGATACCAGTGTGGGCCCCCTGCTCCTGCTGGCTCCTGCACTTGCTCACTCCCAGTGCTCCCCAGCCCCACGGTACAGGTGGGGGGCAGCCCACAGCCCTGACCCCCTGCTTGCCAGCAGGGAAGAAGCTGGTGCTAAGTGTGGGGAAAAGCGGCCCCTCTCCCACCCCATAGTCAGCACTCTCTGCAGCAGGCGCTTGCAGCCTGTGCGCGGCTGTCTGGAGCAGGCATAGGCAGTCCCATGCAGGCTACGAGCCATTTTTCTCCGCGCTCAGCACCAGCTTGGAACCCAGCCCCACTACCAGCCTGGGCTCCACGCTGGCTTCGGGCTTGCCTGTCAGTGACAGCAGCTGCAGGCCCCCTGCTTGCTGCGCTGGGCAGTGTTGGCTGCTGCTGCCTGCCCAGAGCTCATGTGCTGGGCAGCCCAGAGGTGGTGGCGGCGGCAAACTCTGCCTGGCACAGCAAGCAGGGGGGGCTGCAGCTGCTGTTGCCATGCGCAGCCCTGCAGGGAGAGCACAGAGCCAGCACAGGGCCCAGGCTGGCACTGGGGCTGGGTTGCAAGGAGGTGATGCCGGGGGGGGGCGGGGGAAAAGAGGGAAGTGGCCCCCATACCCTGTACCCAGTGTCCCACACTGCAGCCACTTGCAGCCTGCCTGGGGCTGCCTGTGCCTGCTCTGGAAGGTCCTGCGTGGGCTGCAAGTGCCTGCAGTAGGGAACGCTGGCCATGGGGCAAGGAGCCACTCCCCACCCCCCCGGCGCTCAGCTTTTCCCTAGGCTCCTTTGTGGCACGGAGAAAAGACTGGCCCCCCGCCCACCCAGTGGCTGCTGCTTCCTGCTGCAGCCGCTCACAGCCTGTGCAGGGCTGTCTGCAGCAGGCACAGGCAGCTCCATGAGGGCTGTGAGCGGCTGCAGCGCTTGCCGCTGGCCACAGGGCAGGCGGTGGGGCCACTTCCCCTGTCCCCCACATTCAGCTTTTCCCTGGGCTCCTTCCCTGCCCGGGGTTCCCACCTTACCCCCTGATGTTCCAGTGTGGGGCAGCCATGTGCTGCCAGGCCAGAAGCCCCAGCTGGAGCTTCCAGCTGAGGGGGGGTGGGGCCAGGTGGGCCCTGCTGGTGTGGGAGCCCGCCAGGCTTCCCCTGGGTCCTACTGCCCTTGGTTCCTGTCATTTTTGACAGGAACCAAGGGCAGATAAATACTAATTTTCTAAATTTTTTAAGGGCCCCATGGGCTGGATCCGGCCTGCAGGCTGTATTTTGCCTACCCCTGGAGTAGCTGCTGCCAACCATGGAGCCCAGGCTGCTTGCAGCAGGGCTTGCAGCCTCCTACCTGCCTGCTGGGAGCAGCCTGGGCTCTGTGGCTGGCAGCAGCTACCCAGAGCCGGGGCTGGCAGTCACGTGCAGGGCAAAATGGCCTCACATTCTATGCTTGGCATGTGTGCCAGGGGTTGCTGACACCTGGAATAGAACCATGGATATGAGGCCTGTGTGAATAAGGAAGTATTTGATTCAGATTCAGCCAATCTGGAGATTCAGATCACTGTCCCAAATCAATTCAGCTGAATTGGCTTTGGAAGATTCAGCGCTGATTTGGAGAGATTCAGTCAGATTGGCTGGGGAGAGGCAGGCACAGCTCCAGGTCCTCTGGCTGCCTGCCTCTTCCCGGGAAAGGGGAGCCACAGGAACAGCCCCCATGGCTGCCCTACCCAGCCCCATCCCCTGCCCGGCCCCAGCTTAGTCCTGGCACTTAAAAAAAAGCCCCACACTCACCAGGTGCAGGAGCAGCAATTGGGGTCTCTGGGTGCTTGTGGCAGAGCCCCCCTGTGCAGCACAGGGTAGCACAGATCCCCTGTCCCCACCTGGCACCCACGCAGCAGCTGCCCCATGGTGCAGATGCAGCATGACTTGGCAGGACATCGTATGCTGCCTGGGAGCTGGGGCTGAGCACTGCCAGGCTCTGGCTGACACATGGAGCCACCCCAGGTCCCAGACAGGGCATGGCGCCCTGATGAGCCACGCTGCACCCATGCCATGGGGCAGCTGCTGCAAAGTGGGGTGGGAGGGCGATCCCTGCTGCCCCATGCTGCACAGGGGGGGCTCAGCCATGAGTGCCCAGAGGCCCTAATCCCTGCTGCCAGAGCTGGTAAGTATGGGGCTTCCCCCCCCCACCAAGCCCCACACTCATCAGCTGCAACCATGGTGACTGGGGCCTCTGGGCACTCATGGCAGAGGTCTCCAGCACAGCGTTAGGCAGCAGGGATCACCCCCCCTTCTTGGCACTCAGGTGTCAGCTGTTGCATCGTGCAGATGCAGCACAGCTCAGCATGGCACTGCGTGCTGTCTAGGAGCTGGGGCTGAGCAGTAGCAAGCTCTGGCTGACAGGTGGAGCCACCCAGCTCCCAGACAGCATGTGGTGCCCTGACAAGCCACGCTGCACCAGAGGGGTGGGGGTGGGGGTATCTGTGTCTGTCTGTGTGTGTTGCTGTGTGGGGAGGGGGCTCTGCCACGAGCCCTCAGAGGCCCTGATCCCCACTGCCAGAGCCGTTGAGTACAGGGCTTTAATAGTGCTGGGATGCTGGGGCCAGGTGGTAGATGGGGCTGGGCAAGGCAGCCATGGGGGGTTCTCCCATGGCTCCTCTGGCTGTGCCTGCCTCTGCCCCAGCAAGGTGAGCCATGGGGGCTATGCCCTGCTGCTGCTTGCCCAGCTGGCGGTGGAGGGGTGTGATGCAGGCGCAGCTCATTCTGAGTGGCAGCAGGGCATAGCCCTGCTCCCAGCGCTGCTGTGCCCGCATCAGCGCTGGGAGTCGGGACTCAGCCCTGCCTCCGTTTGCCAGTGGCAGTGCTGGGAAGCAGGGTCTATGACCTGCTGCCGCTATAGCCCCCTCCTGCCTGGAGTGAGCCACACCCACATCCTGCCCCCTTCCTGCCCCGGCTGAGCAAGTGGCACAGCAGGGCAAAATCCCCGTTCTCAGCACTGCTGCGCCTGCATCCTGCACCCCCAGCCCTCCTCCCTTGCTGGGCAGCTTGTCCCAGCCCCAATCCCTCTCTCCCCCATGCCACTTTTCCCTCCCCCAACAGATTTACCAGCTGGAAGTAGCTGTGTCAGCTGCCTGTTCAGTCTATGGCCAAATCTCCGAACCAGCCGAATCTTTTCCAAAGCTTTTCCAAATCGGTTTGGATGCTTTGAATTGATTACGAGCTTTTAATTAATCTCCCTATTTGATTTGGATTCAGAGATTTGGTCCCCAAATCAGGCCAAATCTCTTCCAAATCAAATCAGCTACTGAAGCTTCTCACAGCCCTAATGTATACTCTCTTTCTGATGCAAGTCAGTGTGGCAACAGGAACCAGAATTTTTGCTGAACTTGGTCCCTTCCAAAGTTACAGGCCCACCATAAAAAGATGCGCACACACATGCAGACAGACACAAACTGCATTTGATATGTAGAATACATCTACAACTTAACTTTAGAAGAACCTCCATTAGTGGTCAGTTGCAATAGTATGACTATCTTTGATAGGCCAGCCAGGCAGGAGTATCTCTCCCATACACACTATACCTCTCATGCTACAGGTATGTTACTGAAAGCAGAACCTAGAACCTTTCAGAATTTCTGAATATAAGTATTAAGTGACCACAAAGTATGGGAGCCAGTTACATTAAGCCAGGGGTTGGTAACATTTTTTGTTAGAGGACTAGAATGGCCCACCACTGTTTCCCTCTGTTGCCCAGTTGCGACAAGGTATAGGTGAAGTGCCTGGGTGTCCAGTCACACGGCTATATGTTGCAAGCCTCTGACAAAGACAAGGACAAAAAGTGCAAATTTTTCTTCAGGCTTCATAGTTGAGTCCTTCTATCCTACCAACACAGCAAGTCCATTGTTAAGCTATTAGTATTCCTAAGACTGTTTGTTGAAAGGTCAATTGTTTAGGAGATCAAGATGTTTAGCTGGATATCAGATAATTTGCTTCCTTTATCTGTGTCAGGTTCTAGCCAACATATTTCTTAGAAATTTGAAACTCCATTCTTCTCCAGCTGCTGATAGGAGGGAGTTTTACTTTTCCCTCTAAACTGGGAGAGACATAAAACAGAGAAGAAAGAGGACAAGAATGGAATATATTTGCTATTCTGTTTTTCTGTCTGCCTCTTATTTTCTAGTTCTCCTCTATTCGGAATAAAATTAAAACCATTCTCGACTGTTTTGCTGTTATGCATGAGCTTCCAACAGCAGTGAAACTGTTCAGTCTGGTTATATTCATTGTGTGGCTGTGTGGGAGACTTGAGAGTAACAGAGAAAATGGAGTGGTTTCTGCAGGTTCAGAAATGTACTTGCAGGTGTACGTGAGCACTACAAAATTTTTTTTTTTTTAAGGCTTGAATTCCCTCAAAATGTAGCATTTAGGGCTCTATATTCACTATGAAAAAGCTTCCCACTCACACCTGGCAAGTGTATGAGTTTCTTCATAAATGTGGGAGGCTACAAAACCTGCACAAAGTGACGGTTTAATGAAAGTATAATAGAAATTGTTAACTTCTTCTTTCTTTAAAATAGGAGCATCTATTGTATGAAAAATAAGAGAGAAAGAGGCAGATCTAACACTCAGATTGTATTTAATGGACCACACCATTGAAATTTTGCTTGATAATGCTCTATTTTTGGAAGACAAGTAGTTTAAGGAATATTTTTGCCACGTGCGAGAATCCAGTCCTGGAGCAGGATCACATCTCTCAGACAAGAAAAGGAATGAACGCCCCCTTACTTGTTCACAGCTGGAAATGTCTGTGATAATTTATACTCACTCTCCTTTCAGCATAGAAAACAATGCTTTCATGGGAAGCTGTGACCTATATTCCTGCCAAACTCTCTCAAAAACACTAGCCCTGGCACAAAACGGACTTGCCAACTATTTATCATGGTGCCTAATACCAAGGAAACTAGCACTTTTATATTTGTGCAATAAAAATTGCACTGGATGAAGAGGATTTTGCAAGACTTCCTCCAGATTGATGAAAAACTTGGATTCGGGTTCTAGCCACAGGGACTTCAGGCCCTGGCATTTAAAAGTTTGCTGATGCCAGAAGAAATTTAAACAAGTGGCTCAATTTTCAGGAGATGCTAAGCATTTGTGATTCTCTACCACCTTCAATAGTGTGAAGAGTTTTTCCAACACCTTGGAAAAAATCAGATTACTTAGCTAAGTACATAGTTAGGCACCCAGAAGCTTAACTTTAGCACCAACTTGCAAACATTTTAGAGCAATTATAATGTTCCCAAAGTTCACAGCATGCTAGCAATAGAACTAATAGGATTCACCTACAATTTTATAACTTGCAGTAACAGTATGACCCATTTACAAAACCCTGGTTAGAAAGATTTGTAGAATGACTCTTTCTGCTCCTTCTATGAAGCCACATAAGCATGCACACTATTTTGCAGTAGCATCTATTCCTCCACAGAGGTTTTGGTTTATGCAGCCACTAGTTACTCTCTCCCAATCACCACATGGGCCACTGTCCTTGTAATGGCAGCTATTACAGTAGACAGAACCTCTGAATGCAGAATAAGCAAAAACCCCTTAGAGATGGGCTCCTCACTCATCTCAAACATGTCATGCCCTTAGATGGGCTCCTCACTGTCATCTCCCTCCAACCTCCCTCCAGCACAGCAGAATTTTGCTGCCCCCAGTGTTTCGAGGTCTTCTGTGACATTTCCAAAGGCTTTAAAATTGTACTTTACTAAACCAACAACTCTGGATGCAATATATTACCATATTTGTTCACGAGTGAGGTGTATACAGTGTTCATTTCTAGGCTGTCAGGAACCAGACCTAGAAGACTTTCGATGTTCTTCGCCTAGGAAATTAAAGACAAAGTAAGCTGTATTGCTGCTTTAAATCTTAAAGAAAAGGGTCAGACTATTCTAACTCTGGCAATGATATTTCCATTATTTCTGAATCTTTCAGATACATTTTTTTTTTTTATAGGAGTGGATTTTCAACTGGATATAGATTAACTTTCTGTACAGCAAGAAAAAATGTGGGATATTTTCAAAAAAGGGGAGCCTAAAACAGATTTTTTGTTTCAGTTCTTTTGGTGTTTAAGTCAACGGGAGTGCTGTCAGACACTGATGGTGCCAGGATTATATCCCCACTTTTAAAAAATGCAGAGTTAATCAGCAACTTCTACTGGCTTAAGGGGATCTATAGGTGAGTGCTAAAAGTGCTGCTACATGGATTTAAGAAATAGCCAATAACTAGAATTAAAAACAAACAAAATTATGTTATAAACCAAATAAAATCTTATATCCAAATACAATCAGTAGTTTCTTGTGTTAAACAACTTCGAATAATACTAAGGGCACTTATATAAAAAAAATGCACTTTTGAATAAATCCACATACCAGAAACTGAATTAATGTATATTACCCTTTGTACTCTCTCAAATCTTAATCTAAAATATGAAGAAATTCCCGTTTTCATTATCAGCAAATGTACCTATTTTACTTGTTATATAAATGCAGCCTGCTCTTGCTGCTTGTTTCCTGTAAAAAAGCTCCAACTTTAATTTTTTTTTTTTTTTTTAAACTTTCATGTTTTTAATACTGGGGACATTTGAAATGATGGGGAATAGGTGTGCACGCTCAAAACAGTATATGCACAAAAGTGACGTTCCCCAATTTGAAATGTGTCCTTTAAAGGCAGACCTAACACATCATCCCATCGTGTGATGATTGGTATTGTAGCTAGTTTGTAATCTTACAGTGCAGCTAGCATAATAATATACTCAGGTTTTCAGAGTGAAAATGTGTCCACTGATAGTAGTACAGAAAGCAGACTTGAACTGGGCTAAGCAGACATCACAACAAATGTATGAATTTATAGAAACTAAAACACAATGAAAACAGAAGAACTGTTAAGCTAAACTGGATACAGAATTACAACCTTCTCTATTTCCTGTAAAATGCCATGCACATTAAAATACTCTATACAGCGAACTGGTATCCTAGTGCAGTGCATTCTACAGACAAAAGTGTTTCTGAGTGTAAATGTTAAGGCTGTCAGTACTGTACATAAAAGAACAACGTGTGTTTAACTGGAGTTTTAAACAATACAGGTGAGTAACACTATTATCACACTTTGGCTCAACTCACTTGCTGTTTGAGAAAGTTAAATTCTGCTGTACAAGTGCTATAAAGTCTAAATAGATCTGAAAATTACAATTGAGGGCCGATTAAATAAAGATATTGCTAATATATTTAATTATATGCAAGCAAAAGATTATACCTTGTTTATCTGACTAGTAACAAAAGCCATCAGTTTTTCCTTTTGTTCAGCTATTGCACCATACCTCTTTAAAAAAGAAAAAAAAAAGGAAAAAAGGGAAAATTAAAATAGCAGCAATGAGAAAGTGCTCGATAAACACATTGTCTTAGGTGAACATTTCCAATTATAAAGGTTCACAATAAAAGAGTAATACATCATTACCTAGTAGTGAGGCCTAACAACTGACCATTAATTAGAAATACCTGAAAAATGAAAACAAGTACATGCCACAGCAAGCTTTTGTAAATGCTGTCCTTGACATGGTAAGCATGAAGTTTGTTTAAAAGGAAAGAGGAAAAAATTAAACTAATGTTTCAACATCCCACAGAAATGAGGCTTAGGACTGCAGAAGAAAGAAAAAAAGAAATACTATTCCTCTCCAATTATACTGCCAAGCATTCACAAGTGAGCCAGGGATCATAAGGTTAATTATACATTTAATAAGGTGTCAGGGAGATAACTGCTCGTTTCTTTATAAAAATTAAAATGTACAAAGCAAGTTCTCTTTAAAGTATAATTACCTACACTTATGCATACAAAAGGACTGATTTCAATCTCTCTATTTTATAAAAGGCTTTCATTGCGACAGACAGCCAGGGCTTCAGAGAGAGACACAAAAGTTAAAAAAAGTTTGTGACAAACCAGATAAATCAGGTGTCTATCCCATTTTACTAACTACTGTAAAAACCAAACTTGCAAGACAATATTATAGTTTATTCTCATTATAGGTACAGCATAAAAGTATACTTTTTAAAATGCAGGCTCTAAGTTTTGAAAACATTCTGTCAACAGGGAGATGAACAGTAGGAACAAATACTTTGGGACCTAGGTATACCCACAAAACGAATGTTATAGTAAAAAGTATTAGTTTGTACATCTGGTAACTAGAAATACTTAATTCTAGTGGGCTGATATACAGTGCAAAAGGATTTTCTGAAGGACCTTGCAATACTATTGCTACTGGTACCTGCCATCCTCACCTACTGCCACTCCAAGAACTCAAAGTTCTTTAAGGCTAGGTACAGGCATTCAAAAAACCAGCAGCGGAATCAATATAAGTTATGTGGTTTTCTGTAAGCCATGTTGTTTAGATCAACAGCAAACAGAACACACATTAGCTCTCTGGTGCAGGGTGGCAATTCTCAGACTGGGTTCCACCACTTCTAAATCAGTCTGTGTGTGCCAAACTTCTGTTCGGTTACAAGCACAGGCCTGTTGCGTGTGCCGAACCTCTGTTCTGTTAGCGGTATAGACCGGTTTCCGAATACTTGTACTGGTAGAGGTATAATGTCTGTACCTGGCCCAGGAATTAAAATAAATAAATAAATCAAAACTAAAAAAAGATATATATATTAGTATTTTACAAAAGGAAAGGAAAAAAAGAAAATTATTTTTGTTATAAAGATATGGTACACGAAAAAACTGAAAAAGCTAGATAAGAATGTTCAGGTAAACTTTTCCTATATCATATAATTTTCTTCCTTATAAAAACTACACAAAACTGTCTAAAAGGCATCAATGGCATCACTGAAAAAACAAGAAGAATACATAGTTTTACTAACATTATCTGATATTACAAGACGGAAGAATCAGCATTTATGCTCTCTGATTACTCTGTACTTTTCATTTTTGAATGCCATAAGGATATTGCTCAATTTCTTTTTGCTGCGTATGAACTACATTACTTGAGGATTACTTGTGCAGGTGCATTTCAATCTCGGATATATTTTCCATTGACTTTCAAAAGACGTTTATAATCACACACAAAGTAAAAAACCTAAACTGACAATAACCAATTAGCAGTAAATGTTTTTAAATCCTACCTTCCCAAAAGCTAGCATTTTTGTGTTACATAACTTCTTTGTATTTTGGTTATTTCAAATACTTTAAAATAATGTTCAACTATAGTTCTGGCCATAATTTCTATTTGGGAATTTTAGGATTCTACCAATAATGAGACTTATTTTTAAGTACATAAAACTTGTCTTTGCACAACTCTGGTTCTGACAAAGAAGATGACAGTGATGCCTGTGTAATCAGATAGAAATGCATGTAAAAAGTATAATAATTTTTTAAAAATGGCTCTATTCTAATACAGAATTCTGAATAATATACACAAACACTTCTTATGAGGAGGAGACTTTAAAGTTTATCTCACACATTTGAAAAAATGCCCAGACATTAGTTATGCAAGTAATACAATACAAAAATGATACTCTATGCAAATAATATGCATAATTCTATAGTATCAGTCACAGAATCAATTTCACTGTTTTCCTTCCTGTTAAAATAACTAGATTTGGAATTTCATAAAAACCTCTGATGAATAAAGCAGAGGTTGTTCTTTCCTTGTATTGTTTAAAACACTTAACAGCTTGTAAGTGAATATAGCACTATTTACTATCAGAAATTGGTAATAGGCCTCAATTTGACGCAGGGAGTCTACACAAACACAGCAATCTGCAGGATCACTGTGATTGTTTGACTGCCACCTGCTGGGAAGAGACTCCCTGTCTGAGGCTGTTTGTGTACACTGCCAGTGGCAGCTCTTATCACCCACAGTTCATTCTACATTTGGCTCAGCTTTATATTTAGCAGTGTTAAAATGGCATGAATGCAGTCATCGCATTCCTTGAAGATTGCTAATTTAGTTGAGACTTTGGGCCACAGGGACCTGCATTTGTCATTTAAAATGCTTTGGACACACAAGTGAACAGAAAGCAAATTCAGCCTTTAATGAGCCTTGAATACATTTGAAATGTTTGAGTAGTCAAATGTGATGGTGCTCTTGAAAAGCAAACATTGCCCACTTTTTGCTTACTAACTCCAACACTAGAGATATGCGGTATTTAAAAAAATACTGCAAAAACAAAAGTGAGAAATCAAAAGGAGGCTGTTTGCAAGGCATGACTGCTATGTAATTGACCACGTGTGAAAAAGATGAGATGGTCCCTTTTTTCCTGTTCTAGGAACTTTCACAATACAGAACAATAAACCATTACTCTCTTTGGTAGCTGACATGTACTAGAGCCCCAGTGCACTCTGAACACTGCCCTTTAACATGTACCTATGTTTGACAATTTCTCAACATGAAAAGCTCTAAGAGCTACTATTTCTCTTAGTACATGATTACCTCTAGTAGAAACTTGGCATCATCCATTTTTTCTGCTTTTACATACTCCAGGAAGAGATCTGTGACAGGTCCATAGGCTCCAAACTGACTGGCCAGCCGGTCTGCCACAGCACTTACTACAGAATGACAGGTAAGGAAGGAATTCCTTTCATTAAAAATTCACTTTTACAAAATAAACTTCTGTGACATGATTTTGGTTGATTAAGGCAGGGTTTGTATGCATTAATTTTTAACTGTGATTCTATTTATCCATTAAATTCAAATACTACTATAATTAACTTACATTTGTCCAAAGCTGGCTGTAGTTCTTCTTTCATCACAATGCTAAATACAGGATATATATTTATGGATGATAATGGATGAGCATTTTGCAGTGCTGTGGTAAACAGAGACTCAATATGTTCTACCGCAGCATCAATGTTATTGCTAGGGGGAAAAAAAAGGTTGCATTGGCTTAGTTAGTAATGTTAAAACTCTAAAACCAGAAGCGGGTGCATAAATGTTTTATTTTTCTACATTAATATTACACATAGCAGCAATGTTAAAAGTACCTATGACTCCATTCATGCAGATGCTGTAACACCACAAAGTGAAACAAATTTATGGCTGAATGAATAAAATCACCAGTAACTGAATTTCTTTCTGCATTGAACTTTGACCTGTACAATGCCTAAGTAACTCTGACATGAATTCTGTTTTTTATTAAACAAAGATGACTGCTGGTTAGTTACTTAAAATGGGTCTGGAAACCTAAAAGGTAAAACTAGAACATTAAGGGATGGTATTTGAATAATTAATTCAGGAAACTCTAAAGAGTATTTTTTAGAATATTAAATTATTTACCTGAATTTTTCACAGCCACCTTTTTAGATGCAAAAAAATGATACTAGAAGTAACTGGTTTAATCCTTTTGTCTATACTCTACATTTATCTACCATAAAGCACAACACAGCGTGCATTAATGAAGTAATGCATGAACAACAGTACTCCTAAAAGTGCTAAGTCTAGTCCCAGAGTTCCAAAAAAATTTAAATGACAAAACTTCTAACAGCCTAATCTAAAGATTCATTTAAGGTGTGGGTGTTGTTTTTTAAAATATGAGCTTAAAAAAAACATTGTCAAGGACAGAAGAAACACAGCATGTTTCTGTATTTTAAAAATAACTGGAAAGAGTTTGAAATCCTTATCCCAAAATTTCTCTTCCAGTCTATAATATGCATTTAAAATATCCATAAGTTGTGGCTTCTGAAACAATAAAGCCCTATTTAAGAGAAACAGGTTAGTACTGAAAGAAGAGAGAGACAACAGAATCATAGAAAAGTAGGGCTGGAAGAGAACTCTGGAGGTCATCTAGTCTAACCCCCTGCCTGAAACAGGAGCATCCCATCCAAACCATCCCATATAAATCCTTATCTAAGGTATTACTAAAACTACAGAATCATCCCTGTCGCACAACTACAAGGCATAGCACCCTAACACGCTACAGGTAGAGGAGGGGGACAAGAGTGGCGTGTCCAGCTGCTGTAAGGCTTGTTAAAATATGCTTGAGATCCATGATTTATCCTGTTGAAAAAGAAGCCTTTTCACACAGCCTAATATGTTAATACCACATTAGTTGTAATAAAGAGGAATACATGATGATACATCCTCGTAGTTTGTATATACTGATTTATCCCATTTTTGCAAGCATTTAAAATTTAGACTAAATATATGGCATTTACACAGACATGTAGAAGAACATCCTGTTTAAGAGACGGATGCAGCAACACCCTGTTTCCCTGACTTATCCCTTATACTTATACAAATTGTTATTTTACTTCACATTTAAAATGACTGCTCAAATTCAAACATTTCCAAAACTGAGACCTGAAATTAAGTTTTATTTTTAGTCCCCAAAACTACAGCAAGTTCATTAATGGAACTAGTCTGCTTGGCTCCTTCTCAATTTAAGTCATTCTGTAGTTCCAGATTCCTTAGTAGGTATGCTCTTTGGTTTTGCATGCTTAAGGCAGTTACAGGTATGTTCTATATTTTTACCTAGTTCATACGGCTCTCCAGCTGAACTAGAGGCTGAGTTGGATTTATCTTGGGAAACTGGCTTGAAATAAAAAAGTAAAAGGGAAAAAATAAGAATATGTGGGACTCCTGAAGACTACTTTTAACAGAGGTAGATTGAAAAGCTCACAACTAAAACGAACAACCCTTCCCCTCCCTCCCAATCTGTGGGGCCCTAGGGAAATTCTATACAGAGAATGAATGGTCACAGAACCAAGACAACAGACTGTGGCATAGAGCTATACATCTGAATTTAAGGATATGAACTTTGGAGACAATTCACATGATGGGAATTGTAGCTACATAAAATAGCAGCTAATATATTTTTTATACTCTTCCTGAAGATTTCACATTAATGAAAAACAGGTCAATAGCAAAACTTAAAACAATTTATTTACATGCAACCCTGCTATTTTTATTACAATACCTGGAATGGCCAATCTAATATAATCTACAACTGGGACTGTACATGCCAATAAATTTGCCATTCATCTGCACATGTGCATTTGTCCAGGTGCATACATAAACTGCATAATGCATATGACCTACAATGGGCAAGAGAGTCGCTGATTTATTCCCTAAGTCAGTATGCAGAATTCAAGGGCTTTTGGAT